GGTTCTTTTTCAATCCCATCATTAATTCTAGTAATTAAATTTTTGAAATTGTCTTTTTCTTCTGTTGTCAGTTCAAGTTTATTTTCCAACAATTGTATTGAATCTGAAGGTTCAGTATTAATTTCAGTTGACTGATTTTTAACTAAAATGTTGTTGTTCGATGTGTTCAAATTATTGTAATTAAAGACGTACCTATTTACAGAGACAAGGGATCCTATTTATCGATGGATTTGTACTCCTAATTTACCAAAGAATATATAACCAGTAACTATTATAAATCATTCAATCTATGTCGATGTTATCATAAACAATGTTATTTTACAAAAGTCAGAAGTAAACAAATCAATGAACATCATAACCTAAAACGTTAAACATAGCTAACGGCGCTGACCAATCAGATGTGCGGAAATTACCTATATAACCGAACCCATTAGGATCGGCATAAATGCGGCCCGGCCCGGGCCGGTTTCGCACTGTCAATAGGGGTCGGGCCTCGGGCCGGGCCGGTTCCGCACTTTAAATAAACACAACTTTGCTTCTGTCAATGTTTTTGAGACACCCTGTATTATAACAGGTATTTTTAGGCTATGTTTATGTGAAATTGATAGATTGTCGGGAATCGACAAAGAACTACTTGGAATAATTGTAATTGAAAGGATTTTTTGTAATTTTATTTTGATCATTTTATTTTAATGGTTCTGGCCGGGCCGGACTAGTTTAAAGTTTTAACTTTCCACAAATCGGGCCGGGCTTACAAAACCTACTTCTCTTCTCGGGCCGGGCTACAAAAAACCGGCCCGTGCAGGTCTCTACCGCACCTGATCGTTCAACCTTGTGGCAAGTGAAAAAATGCGTAAACATCTAGAAAAAACAGCAAATTGGTCGAAGGAATTTACCCTTATCATTTACTCTGATAAATGTTTAAATAAACTTTTCAAATTTCAATCCTTCATATTTTCTCAATGACTTGACCGATTTTCAAAAACGAAACGGGAAAGTAGAGAGAATAGAAAGCCCCTTTCATTGCGGTACCACTTGACCCCCCTTCCCATTTGAAAAAAATTGGGGGATGACACCCCCGCTTAGAGGGTTGAAGATTTTGCAATCATTTTTGGGGCAAAATTTTGTCCCCCTCATAAACAAAATTGACGTGTTTTTGAATTTTCTGAAAAAAAAATACCCTGGCCGTTATGCCTAGCGGAACGTTTTCGATGGGCCACCCTGTATAACCAAACCAAAGTTCTAGATGTTCGAAAGAAATAAATAGGTAAATGGAAAACATATCTAATAAGTCAGCCAATCATGGCGTCTTGTACAATTAATTATTCTCACAGCATTTTTGATTGTTAAATCATTTGTTTAAATTGATTAGTGTCCAAAAACTACCAGAAATAAGTTAAAATACACGAAATTGATGATTTTTCACAAGATCTGGAATGTTTTCTGAAGTTGAAGGAGTATGAAGTTTTTTAAGGCTCCGAAAGTCGCACTGTTTCCAGCATAGGGACCCATTAATATATTATTATTATTATAATATAGTCCATTAATATTAGGACAAAAATGATCATTCAGAGCGCCGCACAGTGGTCTAAATGAAAAAATTACGGGGACACTCAATTTTGTTTTTCAAATAAAGGAAATAATTGTTATGTATAATGTTTTTATGTAAAATTACACTCATCAAAAAGATTTTTTACATTTTTACCTTCCTATTTTATATACAGGGTGTTCAATTAGTGCGATCTCTCGTTATTTAGAAATTGTAAATAATGTTAATAATACAAAAGTTATAAGTAATAATGAATTGCTTCTTGTTAAAATATTTTTAATTATACGGGGTGTGTCAGAAAAGTGCTAAAGACCAAACTTCAGTTTTTTTAAAGAAAACACCCTATATATTTTTTAAGATTTCAATTCCTGGTACTTTTTCCAGAATTTTGATATAGGGGTGAATGGTTTATACCATGTGTATCAAAAGTTACAGCCATTTTTATTTTTGAAGCTCTATACCATTTACAGTACCTAAAATATTATTTTGTTTTATTGGGTCAGGATATTACAAGATGGTATTTTGTCATTTTATTTGTTGAATTTACAAGTGAATATTACAACTTAAAACAATGTTGATAATGATATTGTGTTACTTGGGTATTTTAACTGAATGTATTTAACGGTCTACAAAATGTTATCTTTATCAAGGCTTCCTCTGGAGAAAACGGTCGCATCTCGTTGTTTAACCTTTCTAAATTTTTTATTTTTGCCGGCTCTTCCGGACTAGGAATCGTAGCTTTTTTGATGGCAAAAGCAACATTTCTCTTTCCTTTTTTTGTATATCCAATCTGAGTAGCAAATGCAAGTTCAGCAGGACTACATTAAGAAACCAATTCTTGTGTACGTCTTCTCTTAGTTCTAGTACTAACAGCACTAAATTCTCTTGAGTTCTTTCGCGAAGGCGTTTTTGCAAGTTGCTGAAAGGTGCTTTGGCACTTAGCAAATTACATCTTTCTTTAAAAAGTCTTTCTTATTTCGGTAGCACCTTTTCCAACGTAAAGCAATTTGAGTTGAAAACCATGCTATTTTGTTGGTTAGGTCATCATCGTCAGCAGTAGGGATGCGTTGTCTGACAAAGTCGGCCATCTTTTTTCTCACAACTAAAGAAGTGGCACTTCCCATCGAGCCATTTTCATTCAAAAGCTCAAATAAGTGTTTTCGACTCACGCCCGAAACTGTACATAATAGGAAGAAAATAAAAATTTCACAAGACTGCACCTATCTGCAGCTCAGTATATTGTTACACGATAGGTAGATATACTAGCTTTAAAATAAATTGAGTTTGACGGTGAAGAAAAGGGTCGTTTTTTTCTGAGCCTTCCATTCTTTAAACTTTAATAAAATTGTAAATACTTCTTTGACAACTAATTGAATCAAAATTCGTTTTTGGAAATAAGTAACTAGACTTACCTTAGAAATGAGCAGACATGTTTGAATTAAAAAACGAACCACGATATTCTAATCTCAACACAACTATACCAAAACGAACTTCAAGATACTTGAGAACAAATTCTTTATAAATGGACATTTATATTTTTGTTTACTTTGTCCTCAATTTTATCGCATTCCGATCCACCAAATACAAAACTCTGATATACAAGTAAGATGGGACTTTATTCTATTTATAAAATTATACACACTATCAATCTTCAGTGAAGACAAACTTGTCACCTAATGTCCCCGTAATTTTTACATTTAGACCACTGTGCGCCGGCTGGATGTTAAAAATAGTTAAAAATCTGATAGGATTCTACTTTTTCGTATTTATCCCCCCAAAAAAATCACTACAACTGATCCATTACTGCATCTTTTACACGAAAAAAAAACACACGCATATAACCCCTGAAAAAAACTAAACAGAGGATAAAATGGTAAAATGCGATAAGCCTATTACGTCCACAGACCAGGCCGGAATACAAAACGACGCCGGAAAAAATCGAGTTAGGTTAAAAAATACAAACAGACAAAAAGCGAGCCGAATTCTGGTTCTTTCGTCGGCCCTGTCAATATTTGACCCGGGGGAGAGACGCACCCCTTTATCCTCGCCCCTGACAGCCGCGCGGGCGTTGATTGATAATTTGTTTGGACGCGGACAACGTTTCGGCGGGTAAAAAACCGCCATTATCGGGCATTTTTTTTCGGTAGACCGCAACGCTGGCCGCTGGTAATGTACACCGAGAAAAAAACAAGGTTAAAGAAAACATTTACAAGTACAGTTTTTGATTTATCAACGATGTACTAAATTTAAATAAATAAATGCCTTTATTGTCAAAAAAATTTAACAATTTGTAGGCAAAGGTAAAGTAAACAAATAAAGTAAACAAACAAACAAACAAAAGAGAATTACAATGTCAAAGAATAAAAAAAATAAAGATAAGATTCAAAAATATTTTTGAAAAAAAAGTTTATAGTAAATATCGATGAACTCTAAATAAGTTCATTTCGATGTATGGTCGATTGGTAAATATAATAATAGCAAACATTAGACCAGTGTTTACAAGATCAAATTCGATTATCAAAATATAAGTCATTTACGGCGTAGAAAGCCTTGTCTAGTAAATAAGATTTCAATGCTTTGCGAAATGAAGAAAATGATTGATTTCAAATGGCAGGTGATTGTGCATTTTTTTTCGAGTTGTAGAGTATTGAACTTTTAACTAACTCTGAGCGTGGGGTAGATAGATAACTATCTTGCTCCGCGTTCCTGAGTGGATAAGTGTGAGATGGCCTTTCTTGAGAAGCTGATACATGCTTACGTATTAGTCAAACGGATTCAAATATAAATAAGGCAGGAAGAGTTAATATTTTTAATTTTTTAAAAAAGTCCTGGCAATGAGTTCTGCTGTTTAGTCCCAGTGAATATCGAACAGCTCTCTTTTGGAGCTTGAAAATGCGGTCAAATTGAGTCGCACAACACGTACCCCAGAATGGAAGGGCATA